CCCCCCTAATATTTGATCCTTCGCGCGGGCCCTGGATATGATCCATTTACTCCTACAAAAATTTAATGAATTCAAAAAAGATTCAGAAAGAAATTTATATCTACATATGTTAATTTAGATTCATTTTAATTTTTTTACAAATTTAAATTCACTTTAACTTTAAACCATGAAAATCAATTAAATTTTACAAGTTTATTGAAATTAAATTCGATCCATCACAATTGAATCTAAATTAATTTGAATTCTATTTACTTCAAATTTTCTGAATTTATATTCATTTTTTGCGATTTAAATCTGATTCGATGGATTACAAATTGAGTTTAGGTGCAATTTAAAGTACTTTAAAATTGAATTTTTACTGATTTATACTCAAATTTAATAAATTTTAAATAAACGATATTTCAAGTAAAGTAACAGAAAATTGAAATCCAGAAGAAGATTTTAAGGAATATTTTTGAAAATTTATATTTCCCACATTTGCACGAAAAAAAAATAATAAAGTCGTTTTTCTGGTGACCGATCAATTCGTCGCGAGTCAATTCGTCGCGTTCAATTCGTCGCAATCAATTCGTCGCACAATCAATTAGTCGCACATCAATTCGTCGCAATCTATTCGTCGCATCATTCTCTCATTACATATTTTTTTATGATAGTCAACGGGGAACGCCGATTATTCGAATTATTTATGTTTAGTAATTTAAAAATACTAAGTAACATGTTTTTCGAGATATTATTCGATGACTGACATGTTGGAGACATATATGTAAAACTTGAAACTTGAATTCAATTGAGTTTTCAAGTTTCAACTTTCAAGTTACTACGAAAGGACTGGCCGCAAAAGAACTAGCCGTGAAGGGACTGCTCGCGAAAGGAGTGGCCACAATACGACACACATCACATTGCCGCTGCTGTGGATGCCGCGAAAGAACTGGCCACAAAAGGACTGACCGCGAAGGAACTGACCGCGAAAGGAGGTGCCACACTACGACACACATCACATTGCACCTGCTGTGGGTGCCGCGAAAGGATTGGCCACACTACGACACACATCACATCGCACCTGCTGTGGGTACCGCGAAAGAACTGGCCGCAAAAGGACTGACCGCGAAGGAACTGATCACGAAAGGAGTGGCCACACTACGACGCACATCACATCGCAGCTGCTGTGGGTGCTGCGAAAGGAGTGGCCACACTATGACACACATCACATCGCACTTGCTGTGGGTGCCGCGAAAGGATTGGCCGGAAAAGTCATCTGAAATTAGATTGAAAGTTGAGACTTGAAAGTTGAAAGTTGAAACTTGAAAACTCAATTGAACTCAAGTTTCAAGTTTGACACTACCGGTTGGAGACAGGTGGAATACATACGTCCTATTTAAAATTTCGTCGAAAAACGAACAAAAACATCGGTTTTTTTTCTGTAGTTTGATGAAATTACAAGATGTTGTTATTTTCTATTCTCTGAATACGTCATTTCATTTCTGTCTATGTATCATTTTCCCGCAAGATCAAACTCTGATACGGGAAATTTATAATGAGAGATGCGACGAATAGATTGCGACAAATTGACGTGCGACAAATTGATTGTGCGACGAATTGATTGCGACGAATTGGATGCGACAAATTGACTTGCGACGAATTGATCTAGTACCGTTTTTCTTCGTATCGCTTATTCCTGTTTTTACACTATTCTGACGGAATCGCTATACTTAGCAAGAATTCATGAACTTTTTTAATCTATCATGATGAGGATAAGGCTATAAAAAATTTCCCTTGGTTCGTATTCAATGAATTTAGATATTCTTTTATTCAGGGAATAGAAATCGTTATAGATTTCTGTATACTATTCGAATGATATAAAATATGTGCTTTTAGATTGAATCTTCTATTTAGAATACAAATAAAATATCAGTAAAATCATTCAAAATCAGTAACAGAGCTTCATATACTTTCAAACCTGAAAGGTTTTAAGAAATTTTAAAATAATTTTCGGTTTTTGTCTTCAATGGTTTTTTTTTGTCAGAACAAGATGAAATATGTGAGTCATATCGAGTCAAGTAGTGATGTTTCTTCGAAGATATACCGAAATTCTAAATCATGAGACAACAATTTAGGATGTGGGTGTGGGTGTCTTCTCTTTTACATCCACACTCACACCCGAAATATTAACGTACTTTTGAAAGATTATGTATGGTTTTATCGTTGAAATTAAAAGAAAAAAGTTTCTCAATACTCAAACAAAATCACAACAAACTAAGTGAATGAACTTCAAGCTCGAAATTCAGCTATGTTCTAGAAAGATTAGATAAATTTAGTCGTATGAACGATTTGCATAGGCTCGGAATGTAAATTTCTCAGAGGTGCAGAATCTAACTACGTGCGTGAACAACCGTTTGAGAACATTTTTGAAAAATAATGAGTGCCATATAGTACATGTCGCACTTTTATTATTAACCTTTAAGAATTTAATTCTCGATAAAATTGTCGCGTTTTTTTTGGATAGATTTTTCATATAGGCATAAACTTTATAAAAACAAACCTTATTGAAATGTCAACTGTAGATTCCTATTTTTCTACCGATAAAAAAGGATTGTGTCAGAGTATTCTTATCAAGGCTAATTCCAAAAGCTAAGTATTGTACACCAAAAGATAAATAAGTTCTTGGTCTACATCTTAACAATCTTCACATGGGTTAGAGTGTTTTCTTTAGGAGAAGGACAGTTGCTAACTAACTACTATCTATAAAATGATGGTATCGTATATGGTTCGATGCAATTTCTTGCGCTAATTCTTAATATGATCTTTTTATTGAATAAAAACGTTTCTGAGTCGAGAACAATAAGAATCGCCTGAAAAATCATGTTTTCTTTACGAAAACCTCTTGTAGAATCCAACTACATTTATGTTAATAGTAGTGATAGATGAAATATGAGAGAACATTTTTGAAAAGTCTGAATAAGTTTTATATTGGAGTGTGAATGAGGTGCTCTTTTTACTTATAGAATAATTTGGAAAATCATCGTCGAAAAAAAGACAATTTTATTCTCATTTTGTTTTCTTTTGTCACTTTAGTGGATTCTATAAAAAAAATGTGAATTGCATAGATGATACTATTTTCAGGCTAATTTTTAATCAGCTGATTGTTTTGATCTTCTTGATGTTTGTAGAAAAAATTTTAACGCCATCATATAGTTTATAGTGCGGAGTATATATACAAGTATTTGAATCTTGCCAAAGTGGTTGTCGACTTTTCATCTAACTTCCACTTAGTTGCCTACTGTGGACAGTTATACAGAAATTTAAATTCTCTATTTAATGGTATAAAAACTAGAATTTAAAATAATTGTTCAATACATCGAACTCATAAAAAATAAAATTGTGTCACATAATATATGGTATTTGTTACTTTTCCGTCTCCAGAAAAAATTTCAGTCTCTCAAAAGAATCTCTTATTGTTTTTTGCTGGCTTTCTTAGTCTTCGTTTACAAATTGTAGATGCTATAGAAATAAATTTTAATAAGAAACAATTAGAAGACATTCTGATAGAGTCGAAAAATAATCCAAGTATTATGTAAATATCCTTCTTGATAATTAAGAAAAAATGAATTTTGTAACTGTCCGTTTTTTTGTTATTTACTTCACAAAGTCAGAATGATCAAGAATGTGAAGCATTATTTGAAGATATCATTACTTGTTCAAAAATTTATTCCTACATTGCTAATAAACGAGAAATGAACAAGAAAATGAAAGGAAAAAATCTAGTTTTTTTTGTAAATCTGAGTGTGGCTGCAATCAAAGAGAAGATCAGTGCTCACTCACACTGACCAGATTCCACATTCATATGCACATCCAAACCAATTTTCAAAGATTTTTATAGAACCTCAATATAAAATCATTTGTCTCATAGATTTTCTTCAAAGAAATAGATGAGATATTGCTCAAACATTTTTTGCAAAACACTGCTGACTTGAGCTCGGCTTTCTCTGAAACAGGGTTGTCGATTGTTTTCAGGAGTGGGGGGATAAAATTTTGGCAGAAAATGCTTCTATTCCTTCAAAAGTAGTGAAAATTTCCCAGACAATATTAAATATTTTTCGCAGAAAGTGTTAAAAATTTTGGCAGACAGCCTAGCATTTTAGGGAGGGGAAATCCCCCCATCCCCCCCCCCCCCAATCGGCAAGCCTGCTCTGAAATACTGCTCTTCGTTCAGGAGCATTCAAATTGCATGAAATAGGATGTAAGTGTGACCCATCCAAACTTGTTCTTGAAATATTTTATCATTTTACAAATGTTACTTATGAGTAGCTATAATATTCGTTGAATCTCTAACAATAATTTTCGAAAGCTTGATTCGAAAATACAATAACTTGAAAATTTTCAATCAGATATTCTATTGAATAAATGTTTTTATCGTGCTTGTCCTTTAGCAGAGAACGTCAACTTTCACAGATCAGTGTATGACTTACGGGCAAACATATTTTCGTTAGAAAAATTTCTAAATTGATCTGAAAGTTGCAGTAATATTAACTGATCGATGTGAAGCACGCAAATATATGGCGTATAATACAGGTTCATTTTGCTATTCTAATCCTACGTTTCCTATTTTTACATCAAATCTTCAAGCTTTTACTATTTCAAAGAAACTATAGTACTTTGGACCGTAATTCAGGGTGAAAACTTGATTTTTTTCAATTTTGACACTTTTTTCTCTTTCTCATTTTTTCTAAGCAATAAAAGATATTTATTATAATATATGTATATGGTCAAATAGAGGGGGTCACCAGCTACTATTAACCCTAGTTCAAAAGTCCCTTACTGTACTCACATATAAATAATTATTTATTTTATATGTAACTGTCGATTCCCTTATCTTGATTTTTACTCACCACTGCTAGGGATTTTTTTCAATTTCACCTGTCTGTCATACGCTTCTACATGCTAGCTATCATTGACCAATAGCATTTCATCCAATCATTCTTATTTATTTATTTATAAAAAAAATGGATAATGATCCTGATCCTGATACTACTGACGATGATCGTGATGATCGTGGTCATGGTGGTTTTCGACCAGGTGCTGGTAGAAAACGAAAACAATCAGCAGCATCTATTCAAAATATGTCACAGAAAAGACGTGAAGGAGCTGCACAAAGACAAGCTATGTCTAGATATGGATCTAAATTAACACAATGGATAAATGAATTAAAATGGTCACGTCAAGGTATTCAATCATCTCATCAAGATAATGCAACTGCTCTATTGGTTATATTTATATAGTGAGCAGAAATGTTAATACTCATTGTAAATGTCATTTTCTATTGTAAATTAGTTGTCATTTACTTCAAATAAATAAGTTTCGAAACGGAATAAAATTCCTGTCACACTTGATTTTTTTATATAAATTTTTTTACTTTTTTCATATGGTCAGCATGATGATATCTCAATGTAATTATGGCATTATATAGCCTATACTACCCCCTAGCAAACCCCTAAGTATGGCCAAAAAATAAGAAAAAAACCTATCGCAGGAGAGCAATAGAAAAAAATTAGTCTCACCCTGAATTACGGTCCAAAGGACTATAAGATTACTATAGAATACATTTGAAGTTACAATTCCGAGCTAATCATTCGATTTTTTTAATTTTCAGATTAGACTTTTCCCATTGTTACTCTGAATAGATAAAGTTTTTAAGCATCAACAACACAATATGTTTATATAGTTTGTCTTAAGATGAGTATTCATTGTTATTATGAGTATTTAGCTGTCACACCATATCTCTTTAAATGTTTAGGTTTACGTGACAACAGACGTAGTCTAAGTTGAAAGTATCGAAAATTGTTGAAATGCTCTTCATTGATATGTTTTCTTTGATAACTACTAATAAGAACTAATGAATAGAATCGATTTCACATTGAACAGTCACATATAACATCATAAAGATAGAAAAAACGATGTCACTTTCTTGGATACATTACTTTAGACTTAAATTTTGATGTTTAAATTAATTAAAACTGACTTTGAAATATGAACTCAGTTAAAACTTCTCTCCTCTAAATTTAGTAAACATACATATGCGCTGAACATAGACATTAGATTGAAATAAACTTTAAATCTGAATTGAACATCAAATGAATATTAATATGATGAATTCGAACTCCGGCTGACATACTGAGCTGTGACAAACCATAAGCGATATCTTGAAAACACGATTCTACGACAATAAATACCCATAACATTGGAGTAGATATATAATCTTTTCTCGTTATCAACTTCATTGTTGAAAAACTATGATTTCGATATAAAACGATTGGATATCAGTTCAATTACTAAAAGGGATACTTTTAAACGCAAAAAGTAGGTTGAACAATTTTTCATGTCTTACTGCATCTATTTGTTGCTTTCGAGTTTCTCATTTTAAAATAATATTTCTTGACTCGAACATGTATTTTACAGCTGCTTAATTTTCAAGATTTGGAAGAGATGAATTATCTCTGTTTGGTACTTTGGTTTTCTCTTTTTTTTCTGGTTACCTATTGATTTTATACAAAAACTAAAATTTCAAAGAGACCGTTCTGTATAATGTTTAAAAGATATATCAGACTAAATTGATTGATTCCCTCCTTTTCAAAAGCATGATCATATTAAAAAACTCTCAGAACAATTCATAATTTCATTCTAGTGTTACATGTCGCTACATATTTGTGTGATTTATCTTTTGAACATAAGATTCGGCTACTGATGAGAGAAATGAGTTATAGAGCGTGCAGCTTTGTATAACTTTCCAAAATCTATGAGATGAGCGATTTTTGAACAAATTACACCTAGTTAACCTCTAATGAGATGCAAAGTTCTTATTTGAGAGATACTAGGGCACATATAGTGTCAATCCATTCACATACAAGCTGACAATATGTAGCACATATTGAAAGAACTGCATGACATTTTTTTTCTTTGTTTTTTGACAACATTCGATCGATATATCTTATCAGAAGTACTCATTCGATTATTGCTTTGATTCAATCTTCTATTACATCTTCAGCATTTATAATGTTACTCACCGGGTATGACTGGCAATAGTGAAAATTCCATTCGTAAATTATAATTAATTTCCATGCTATAAGAGAAATAGACTGTAAGGATTGAAAAAGAAGTTTTACAGAAAGCACGCACCAATTAATGAATTCTTCTTTTGTTATTTTTTCATCTTTTCCTTTCTTGCAAAAGCTCATCACTTTGTCTGCAATAAATCTTATATCATTCGTGGAAATACGTTTCAGTTCGGCAACAGCGTCCAGATATAATTTCATTTCGTCAACATTAATGCTTTCTGAGCTACCGCAAGCACACATTGCAAAGATCTTTAAAATAATATAGTAGAAATTGTCTGAAAGTATTAGAATGCCATAATGTATACATACACGATTAAGTTGCAATTTAACATCGCCTGGCAAAGTCAAAGATATTGCTGACATGAATTCGTCAAAGCTAATAGCTCCCTCATGATTCTTATTGAATATTTTCAATGCATAACTACAGTATTGTTTTGGTTCCCCACTTAATATAAAATATGAACAGTTGTAGCGACAACGTCTTTAAAAGTTCAGCCTTACTGCGGAAATAATTTTTTAAATTCATCAATAAAACCTTTTTCACTCAATTCACCGCTTGGGCTAAACGAGTTAAGAGACAATTGACGGTAAAAGTATCACAAATCGTATAGTTTCTTACTGGTTTTTGATAAATGTTTTATAGTATGCTTCAATATCTATAGCTTTCAAGGTTGTAAATTTATTTTCCAATAAAATTGTTTGAATTTGTTCTGCAGATAATGTTGCTAGAGAAAAGAAAAAACAAGGCGATCATGAATGATGTGTATTTATATTTTGTATAAAAGTTCAGACAAAATTGAAAGTAGTGGATTTTGCTGAGCAATGTACCGCGTAGTGTTTCTTGGAAACCCGGAGATTTGCCTGAAATTTTTTCCCAAAAAACCTATTGGTTCTATTGAGAAAAGCTACTTTAATGGAAGAGCTGAATCCGCATTGAAAACCACGGATCTCTTGATTAGCAGGGATTAGATACTAAGTGTCAATATGCCTTCTGGAGAGCGAAAAAAAATAAACTGAACCATTGTACTCTAAGCTAAAAACAGTTATGTCGACAAAACAAACACAACTTGATTCATATGGATGTTAGTCTGCCCTCTCAGTGATAAATAGAGCAATCTGCTTCCTCCATTGTAAACTGAAAGAAAAAGACAGCTTCAAATTTGTTCCAATTCCAGAAATTCTTTTTAAGTTTTGTAGTGTACACAAAACTCATCTTTAACATGCGTATCGTGCGTCTTTTTCTTTCAGTGCACTTATGATAAAAAATCGTAGGAACGAAGGAGAAATGTACAGAAAAATAGTGGCTTTCGTTCTACCTATAATGACAAATTTGTGAAAAGTGGCAGATCTCCAATTTCATACAGGATACGGATATATATGTAGATCTTATCTGTTATCACAATCACAATTATACCTACCACCACACCATCTCGTTTTTTTAGACAAGACAATACTAAATATCTTTTCTTCTTAGAATCGCGCTGCTGAGATCTAACAAATACCAAAGAAAACCGAAATTTTCATAAGTAGAGCAAGAGGGTAAGCAAAGTTGTCACACATGCCGTCATATTTAATAGTCTCAA